TGCCAGTGATAATGATCGTCATGAGGGATCCAGTCTACGTGGTAAGTAGTTTAACTCGTATTAAACTTTCTCGTGATTACCCAACGACACGATTACGATGATAATATTTCATAATTATTTTTCAGAAATGCATGAACGCTCTACAACAAGTTACAGCAAGAGACGGCAAGCCGATCGTTATCTGCGAGGAAGGGGACGAAGAAACGAAAATGTTCGCAGACCGAGTTCTTGAAGTGCCTAAAACAGTAGATTGCCTTCAAGGAATCCTTACAGTCATTCCAATGCAACTTCTATCTTTCCATATCGCGGTACTTCGCGGATGTAACGTCGATTGTCCGAGAAATCTGGCGAAATCGGTCACGGTCGAATAAAAAAAGGTCAACTACAATCATCTTCGGGACTTGGCCGAACGCAGCGTACAATGCTCAGTTGTTCACTTGAAATTCCAACGACTTACTGTGAGAAGATGTCTATTAGAACTACGTTTATCTGCAGTAGGGACGAAGCACAGGAAGAAGCAATTTTCAAAATACGCCGTGATATTCTCGTGATAACATGAAAATTATCATCGATTATATTTAATACGTTTCTAAGTACTTAGTAATTGTAGGCTCGTGTTAGAATACGAGTAGAATAGATGCAATTTCTTATGTATGCTCGAGAACTGTATTTAGCATGTATTACAAGTATGTATTTAGAAAATACTTAGGTTAGCCATTCGGACCATCGTTAATCTATATATTTAATCTTACAGTTTACTTTAGAGAAAGAAACTCAACGAAGACGTTCCTTACGTGGGATTACATTAATCGAGCTCCCAATGATTCCAGTGCATTTAACGGTTATGCTCATTCATATCAATTGATAAGAAACGAGTGGAAGAGAAACGCGACGCTTTTCAGATCGTAGATCAATTGTGATTTTATCTCTTTATGATCAAGTATAAGATTAAGACTGCGAAGAAGAAAAAAAATTGTTACTGTATCGTGAGCTCTATCATGTTTACATGTGATTACCCTGGAAAGTGTTCGTATGCGTGTGGGATGTGTGTATCACGTAGATCTCAATCGAGATGGAAAGAAGCAATTGTAATGGATATTAGATAATGGATTAGATAATCGACAGAAATACAAAACACATTTATGAATACGATTATCGCCATGATTATCGCTCCATGGTGTTTATTGTATACTTTCGGAAATTTGTATTTTGTACAGTATTTAAGGGAGATATTGGAAATTTGATACTTTCCCTTCAAGTTTTGCTATGAAAGATATATTGACAACTTATATGCGCGAATTTTGTTACCGATGTGATATATACATATGCACGTTCAAGCGGAAACAAAATTGTTGTACAAAGACGGATTTTTCTAAATGATAATTTTTAAGATTTATACGGTAGCCTTATATTTCTGCTGTTGAAAGTTTTCTATTTGTCGGACTCAATATAATCAAGGAGTAAATTTTTATATGGATTAGTCGAGGTGTTGGAAACGCGAACGTTTATAATTTTGCCTATAAAGTCGTATGTAATACCTTCCGCAATATATATCTA